GTCTTAGGAAAGCTCGGAGTAAAGCGGGATATTCGGCAAGAGCGCCAAACATTTTTTGTTTACTTTTCCAAAAAGATCACGATCTCCTAAGTAATGTTACGCTCTGATAAGCTCTGATACGCTCTGATTTCCCGACTTGTTACGGATCCTCACGCTCGAGAAGACGATGGCAGAACAAGATCCAGAATTTCCAGATGGACCAGATCATGACCTATCTGAAGAAGAAATGATGTTTGTCGCACGGCGTGAAAGAGCGTGAGAAAGCTTGTCAAGCGTAACAAAGCTTAACAAAACGTTTCAATCCTTGATTAAAGCGTCTCAATTCGTTAAAAAGCTTGAGAGTCCTTCATGAAAGCGTAACAAAGAGTGTCGGATATTGATGAAAGCGTCTGACCTCGTGTCAGATCTTCATGCCAGATCGTAGCAAAGCTTGAGACATCTAAACGAAGCGTGTCAAGTGGTAACAGACCGTGAAGAGACTGGAGTCCCCGCTTTGAACCAAGCTCTGTTTAGCTTTCCTACGCTTTGGGTCAAGCTTTGCTGAGCTTTGTTACGGTTTGTTAAGCTTTGATACGCTCTCGGGGCTTTAATCAATTCGTAAAGGAGCGCCCAAATTTTTTAAACAGTTTACAAATTTTTGGCGCTCTTGCCGAACATCCCGCTTTACTTCGAGCTTTTCTACGCCCTATTACGACCCCGACGCTTTAATCAAGCTTTGTTACGCTTTGGTGCCGCTTTACAAGTCCCTTTAAAGCGCCATGCTTTGGTGCCGCTTTGCTCGCCGATTTAAAGCGTGGCATTCGCCGTTGGTGTGAACGACTAATGCCTTGGTCACATAGGCTCCGATTTTCACTGCGGCGCCCGGCCGATGAGTATTTTGTTCAAAATCGGCCGGCGAGCCCGGGCATCGTACGGGCGCCGGGCGATGATCGCCACTCATCGGCCGATTTTTAGACATCGTACGGGCGCCGGCAGAGTTTTATCGCGGAGATAAAAGTTGCCGATGTCTTGGCGATTTTTTATCAACCAAACTCATCGGTACCTACCCGGCCGTGTCCCGTCCGGGCATCGTACGATTATCTTACGGCGCCTGGTGGCATCGCACGGTCATCTTGGGATTTTGCGTGCTGATTTGTTGATAAATCTTAATAATGATTACTTATAAAGTGATATAAAGGTTTTAGAAATAATGAGGTAAGGAATTATAATTACTACACACTGTCAGAGATTTTTTATAAAACATAAATGGAACGATTAGGCTTACTGTAAAACAATGACACACATTTGAATGGCTGGGTGGGTGGGTGAGTGGATAGGTTGATCTAGTCGTTCTTATATTGACATTAAATAAGTGTGTCTGTCATACACATTGAATAGAGTGATACATTTTTATGCGTATATTCACTCATGCATATACCATTACAAATCATTTATTTTAAAAATCTTCTGAATGTTTTTGTGAGTACAGTATTTTCAAGGGTCACAATTTTAATACGAAAGTTCACTGTCTCAATTACAGTTAATATGCCAAAGGCTAAGGATAGAGGGGATAAGGCCAATGGACCATATATGAGGAAGGCCTTGGGAAGACAGGTGGAAAAAGACAATAACAATGACGTGTCGCAAAAAGCTCGCGCACGCATTGTTACACATTTTGTGGCGTAATCAAGAGGATCCTCGCTTTTAACATGATAGAATGTGACGTTTTTGAGAAAAATGTACACACATGAAAATCCTTTCGTCCACCACACTTACCTCTATATCTCAAAACATTTTAGACGAATAACTCTGATATCATATATATATTGTTAATGGGCTAGGAGCATCATAATACACGAATCAATTGATATTTTAGGTGAAATAAATATACGTGTTGCTGTGCTTGAAAATAGGCGAATGGCGTAAATTAGCCTTATTTTAATGAATTTTGAAAACCTTTCGTCCTCCACTTTTCCACATACAACAGAAAACACATACTTTTGTGAACAAAATCAACTATTTATTAATAAACTAGAGTTTAGGAGCAAAATAATCATGTATGATTTATTAAAAATTGATCTCGTATTTTTTGTTTAATGTACACCTGAAAAGTTGAAGGTACCAAAAAATGAGCAAAAAAGGTCGCTGTCAACAGATTCTATTTTTCAGACTCTATGACGTCACAATATGGGACGCTTACTAAAATTCATCCTTTGGAAAAAAACTTCCATCTACCTTTATCAAGACGAAAAATAAGTATAATAGTCATATATTGTTTGAGTTATGAGCGTTTAAAGACGAAAAATAATTCAAAATGTAACGTGTCAACATGGGATATTTGCCAGATGTTTTGGTAAAAAACTCTTTTTTAAAAACGAACGCGCAAAAAATGTGAGCGGAGTGTAGTTGATCTAAAATCTTCATCGAAACAGCTTTAAAATGATATATAACTTTAATTAGAATATTATCTTATAATCCGGGGAATCAAAGTTACATTCACGCGATACCCTTAAAAACAAATGCGCCACCTTTTTGCGACACGTCAATGCTAGTGAACTGGTGGATGATGAAGATTTAGATGTGTCTGGGGAAGAGGGTTTTCCATTTGAAATAAAAGAAAAAATTGCCAATTTTTTGATGATAGGCCATATTTTTATGACCAAACAAATTTACGAGAACAGACAAAAGAAAGATGCAGAAATAGGGAATTTTGCTAATAGAATCGGATGGACAAGTAGACATAATATTTGTTTATATGAAAGATCTAAAAATGAATTAAGGTTTGATGAAAAGACCACGTGCAGTATGGCAAGTGATTTTAGACGGTCATATCTTTCACCATGAGTACTTTCTGGGCATAAATACAGTGTTTCTATTAAAACAATATGTTTTCTTTTAATTGAAGTATCCATGATAGTAAAAATATCAATCAAACAACTTGAAAAATTATGAATAGGGATCTCATGTCAGCATTTTTTTTCTAAATATTGAAACTTACTCACTTCGAGAGCCGTGTTAGATTTTGAAACTTATGGCTCTCAAACGGAGAAGTGAACAGCTGATCAATAGTGACCTTTGAAATCGAATTAAGTCGATCCGCGGCTTACTTTTGGTCTCTAACTGTGTCTTAGATCAGTATCATCAATCCGTGTAAGTATTGGAGCGCTGGAGTACTTCTTTTTCGATCAAGACTTGTAAATTGTTCATCGAGTTAAAGTTTTATAGACCTATTTCCAATATGGCGGTTTGCTAGGTGCGAGATACGCAACGAACGAAATGAATTTTGAGAATTAGTTAGGTTCGGACAACCTCCGGAGATTTACGGAAATGTCCGAGCAGAAACCGCCATATTGGAATTTGGCAGTAAAACGATTCACTCGACTAACAATTACAAGTCTTGATCGAAAAAGAAGTACTCCAGTACTACACACTGCTCGCGGATCGACTTAATTCGATTTCAAAGGTCACGATCATTGAGCTGTCCAAATGCTCCGTGGGAAAGCTATTATATCAAAATCCAAATAGCTTTCGCAGGAAGTAAATTGAACCTATTTAGAGGATCTTCTTTTTCTGATTTTTATTGCATGAAAACATTATTATCCTGGAAGTCCTGTCTATCGAAGTATTTCGTTTTCAAATCTTGCATTCATGCCATGTGGAACAGTCAAACTGGGTCATACAAGAATTTAGTATAAATCTTGAGGCCTGTAGATCGACCGATGTCCTGGCGGGTGCCGTACGGCCATCGGCAGATAGCCTTGCGATACCCGTGCGATGTCTTTCAGATTCAATTGATTGCGGGCGCCGTACGATGCCTGTACTAATGTGACCATACTCACGATTAGATCAAGACATCGGTGAAAAGTCACCGGCGCCCGGTCGATTTATAAATCGGCCGATGACTACTCATCGGCCGGCGCCCGGCGGCTATGTGACCCAGGCATTATACAAGGAACAGATCTACAAACATGTAATGGTGGATGTTTCTGTTAGAGGCAAAGACTCATATTCTCTCCAAAGATCAAATTAAATGAATACTAATAAAACTGCCAATAAGCCAAGAACACGCTGTACACTTTCGGTTGTACGACGTGATGAGCATGGGTATATGCAAAGATTTCTAAAGTAGCATAATCCCAGACAGTTCTTTGCAACGTTTACATGATTTCAGTGCAACATTTTTCAGTGTCTACCCAACCCCAGTGCAATGTTTTGCGATTGCAACATGATTTCACAAAACCATGTTTGCGAGGGTTAACATGATCTCAAGAGAACGTTTTGGATTGGCTACAGGGTCAACTTTGCAAGGATTTCATGATCACAGTGCAATGTTTTTCAATGTGTAACTGTAAATGACAACATGATTTCCGTTTTGCAAGGTTTACATGACCTCCGGGCAACATTTTGCAATGACTATATTCTAGATTCTGGTTTGATGCCTGATGTCCGTTGATAAGAAAGGATAGTGGAGAGGTTAAGGAAATACGGTTTTTCAAAACGTATACGTAAACGCAAAGTACATTGAATCAACATAGGATTGTATCGCTTTATAAGTCTACTTCAGATACCCGTTCAACTTCAAAGTTGCGTGTTTAGAACGGGAGATTTTAAATTTCACGTTGCTATCAACGGGAATCATTATACTCATGTCTGTTGAATACTATCTTTGCAATTTTGATTTCGATGCAGAGTATAATTCTTTCTGAAGAAGATGATGTATGTTACGCATGATTTAACTCCAATAATCTTACGAAACGAGCTCGTTTAAAATATGTATTAGAAAACCAGCTATTGAACTTCATCAATGGGATACTATGTAATCATTACAAGCTATGGTGTAGTCTAAACAAACACTAGAGCTGAATAGGGCCGATTGATACGTTTAAGTTGCGTTTTGGATTTTATACGGTAGCTTAACCTCTCCAATATATGTTCCCTACCCTTACATTTCAATCAATCAGCATTTAACCACATGAAGAATATATCGGGTAATCAAGACATCTTAAAACTTTCACTTTCAATCAAGGCACAGATTCAGTTGTAAAACTAGTATCAGATTCAGATTCAGTTGTAACATCTTCAGTTACAGATTCAGTTGTAACATCGGTAACAGATTCAGTCGTAATATTTTTAGTAGCAGTTTCAGTTGTTGCATCGTGAGTAGCAGATTCAGTTGTAACATCTTCAGTTACAGATTCAGTTGTAACATTGGTAATAGATTCATTTGTAACATCTTTAGTGGCAGTTTCAGTTGTCACAATTTCAGTTGCAGATTCAGTTGTAACATCAGTAATAGATTCAGTTGTAACATCTTCAGTTACAGATTCAGTTGTAACATCTTCAGTTGAAAAATCTTTTGTAGCAGTTTCAGTTGTCACATTTTCAGTTACAGATTCAGTTGTAACATCGGTAATAGATTCAGTTGTAACATCTTTAGTAGCAGTTTCAGTTGTTGCTTCTTCAGTTACAGATTCAGTTGTTAAATCAGTAACATATTCAGTTGTAAAATCTTCAGTTATAGATTCAGTTGTAACATCAGTAATATATTCAGTTGTAACATCTTTAGTAGCAGTTTCAGTTGTTGCATCTTCAGTTACAGATTCAGTTGTAAAATCTTTAGTAGCAGTTTCAGTTGTTGCATCGTCAATAGCAGATTCAGTTGTAACATCGGTAATAGATTCATTTGTAACATCTTTAGTGGCAGTTTCAGTTGTCACAATTTCAGTTGCAGATTCAGTTGTAACATCAGTAATGGATTCAGTTGTAACATATTTAGTAGCAGTTTCAGTCGTTGCATCTTCAGTAACAGATTCAGTTCTAACATCAGTAATAGATTCAGTTGTAACATCTTCAGTTACAGATTCACTTGTAACATCAGTAATAGATTCAGTTGTAACATCTTTAGTAGCAGTTTCCATTGTTGCATCTTCAGTAACAGATTCAGTTGTAACATCAGTAATAGATTCAGTCGTAACATCTTTAGTAGCAGTTTCAGTTGTCACATCTTCAGTTACATATTCAGTTGTTAAATCAGTAACAGATTCAGATGTAATATCTTCAGTAACAGATTTAGTTGTCACATTTTCAGTAAGAGATTTAGTTGTCACACTTTTAGTAACATATTCAGTTGTCACATCGTTAGTAACAGATTCAGTCGTCACATCATCAGTAACAGATTCAGTCGTCACTTCTTCAGTAACAGATTCAGTAATAGATTCAGTCGTCACATCTTCGGTAACAGATTCAGTTGTCAAATCTTCAGTAAAAGATTCAGTTGTCACATCTTCAGTAATAGACTCAGTTGTCACACCTTCCGTAACATATTCAGTTGTCATAGATTCACTTGTAACATCTTCCGTTTCTGATTCAGTTGTCGCATCTGCCGTCGAGGTAGGTGCAGCTGCAACAAATCAAACTATTTTATCAATTTGTATTATAAAATATCCGAGATTAACTGGAAGGTAAATAGTATACTCGAACATAGCATAGCAGTTAAGAACTGAAAAGAGCACGTAAGATATGGCAAGCATTTTTCAAAGGGCTATATCTTTTGTTCGAAAAATAATTTAACCACAAAAACAAATGGTTCTGTTAGATCCATGTCTTATCTTCAATAAATGACATTAGGATGATAATCAAGTTGATTGGATTATCTCTTAAGCTGTCCCTAATCCACCCATCCTCACCAATTTTCCCGAATACTGACGCAATTTTCAGCCAAAATGCAGGCCTTCTAATAATTTTTAGTGCAAAGTTGTATTGAACTTTTAGACATGATTTAAACTGTAAAGGGGAAAAGTTAATTATGAACCTACTTTTTTTGTTTTTTTTTTCGGGATTTTTTCCTAACCTTTTCTGATATTATTAGGTGCTTCATACTAATATTATACAATAACAAAATAGAGGGCAGCTAAGTGTCACAATAATTTGTTTGTTACACTGTTTCAAACACTCAGATAGTGACTTACTCAGAGTTATGGATTGGCTTAATCCTGCATTTTACTTTGTATTGTTTGTGTATAAAACAGTTGTGTCATTCACGTAGAGCTATTTATATACTGAATAGTTCTTTGTAATTACATGTACCTGGTTTTGACTATTCAACCTAAATTTTTGTTTGGGCAGGCTGAAATGAATAAGTGTGAAAATAAAAGGAATTACAGGGTGAGACAAAAATGCTATCCAAAGAAATGTTATAAAATCATTCATTCAGTATGAGTTGAAATCATATTTGGTTAATTTTACCATGTAATATCTTTTTGCGTTTTACCATGTTTCATTGGTCCATTTCTTATGGTCACAATTCTATGACCATTCTACGAATTTCAGCCTCGTCCCTTCAGGCAGAACTGCACTGGTCGGATGAGGTTGTAAGTTCACGGTCACAGAAATTTTTCTCCAACCTGTTGTAGGGGTTGACATTATATCAGAGATAGCCCGTAGTCATGAGATGAGGCTGGCATTTTGGACCCACGTGGACCATGTTTCGTATTATAGCCATAAAATCCCGACCATTTGGGCAGGGCCATTTAAACTAAGTAAAATGAAAGAACTTTAAACAAGGTTTTATTATGCGAAATAACACTTTAGCAGATGCGGAATTTGTTTGGGCTACATTTTTGGCTCACTCAGTACTAGACTGCACTTTAAAAGTATTCAGGATGTCATATGTTGGGTAAAAGGCGATGATTTAACCTACTTTTGATAGCAAATTCATTTTAATATGAATGAAATAGTGGCAGGTACTATTTATATTTAATGAGCCATACAATAGTAGGTTGATCTGGCAGCGAATACTACTTATAATGTGCTTTCAAAGCCCGTTGTCACCTATATAGTTTCTTCATCCTAGGTCAAATCCACTCCAGAATGCCCTCAATTACAATGGTGTTATATTAGATGCAGCATTTATTAATCTCTTGAATCACAGCACCCCTAAGCTTAATCATAATTCTGTCCATTGACCTATAGCATAGGCCTAGGGAAAAGTAGTAGGAAGGCAGCTTATGAGTGCTCTCGATGTTCATAAGCTTACTACTACTTTTACATAGGCCTATGGCCTACATATAAGTTTGGGATCCCTCATTTAAACCAAAACCTCTATTTCCATTTACAGCCCCTAAAAGCAACAACACCGAACCAAGTGGCAGTCATTGGACCCAGAAGCATTTTTATGTGCCAACCTATAATGAGAATCCCTTTAGTGAATAACAACCAGGTAGTCGTCTAAGGTATAGCAACATGTTCAGTTTGTAATTTTATAGAAGGTCATTGAATCTTCTAATCGGTCATCCAGTTATGGATAAACTATGAGTACTGGGTTTTATGAGAAATAATAGCAGAGGGGCTTGGCCTGAGGCTATTAGTTCTCATAAGACCCAGTTCGAATAGTTTATTTAACTTAAACCCCACACTGACGCTTATGAAGGGTAAATGACCCATGATCCAAGAACAATTATTTTGTATTAACTATGAGGTAAGTGTGTAGAGAAGTGAGAAGTGATATCAGGTACAGTTAAAAATTTTATTTATTTTGTGTTTACAATTTAACTATTGAGTGATTGAAAATGGTTTAATAAGTACAGCTTCGGTGCACTGCATGTGACAGTCAAGGTGTTAATATTGAGCCAAACACTGTCAATCATATTTTTTGCCACAATGGTTTTAGATAGCTTGCAGTGTCCATTCTTCAAAAACAATAGAACAAGAATGCACTCTTCTTTCTTACAACTGTAAATTCTTTAAGGCCAAAAAGGTCTTCAAATTGACCATTTTTTCAAAAATATCGTCAAGGTCTCAGAAATTCAAATCTGACTCTAGATTTGACAATTGACCTTCAATGACCTTCTCAAAGTAAAGATGGTCTAAAAGGTATTTTT